GACATCCAAAGCGTAGACGGCATTTCTGTTCCAGCTGTAAAAGGTTAAAAAAATATATGTTGACACTACTGCTTCCATCTAACGATAGCACGCGTCATCCATTTGGAAGGGCAACGTAGAAACGTGGCAAATGCAATAAGCCGCTCGGTATTAGCTGTCTGTCTTGATGCAGCGCGCTCTGTGTGAGGACGCCCGGTGCTCCCTGATGCTTGTTCTCTGGGCTCCGAGCAGGTAGTTCTGGTGAAGAGGAGGGCGATCTGTCACATCTGCTTACCTCGGAGGCTTTGTTCCCTCTTTCCAAACAGGGGAACTACTGCTGTGGATGGAGCTGGTTTCGGCATTGACCGTCCCGCCGAGCTAACCAAGGAGGATGATGAGTACGAGGCATTCCGTAAACGGATGATGCTCGCCTACCGCTTCCGACCAAATCCATTGGTAAGGAGGTCCCGAAAGCAGAGCACAGTGACAAATCCAGAGAGGCTTCTGTGGGTATCTCGTAAGGGCGGGAGTGTTTCTAGGGCTTAGCCAAGAGAGCGAATGCAGTCAAAGTTTCTCTTTGATTCTGTTCTCATGTTGAATCAAATTATCGCTACCAAAACGTCCACGGATGCGCGGTTTTCCTTGCAATGATTTTTTTGAATACAAAAGCCCCTGTTCTTAATTTTATCTTGTACATACAAAGTATAAGCCTTGTGCACAAAGGACAGGGATGGGATGGGCTGTCCGTGAATCCATGGTTTATTTTGAATAATTGTTTTCCTGGTTGCAAGAGGCTTGTAAGCTTGCATTTGCCTCTGTTCGGCTCAGCACGCCTAGAAAGCTACGTTTGTAGTTTTTTGATTGGAAACCTCAGGTTTCACTGTCAGATACGTCACGTTTCAGTGGCTTTTTCAGATAATTAAGCTCAGATGCTCATTGTTCCGTGAAGACAGCAATTTTGATTAATTTTCTCTTGTTATTCCCCACAGAACAATCCGCGACGACCTTACTACTGAGAATGTTTTGGGGACAATGTATTTTGAAAACAATTGTAATTTTACTGTGAAATGTTATGAAACTGCATTATCATTCTCTTATTTGCTAATATTGTAAAACTTATTGAAGTCCCAGTACCATCCTTCACCCAGAAGAAAGGCCTGCAAGCCCACTCACTGCACACTTGAGTGTCATGACAGCCGTGTCGTGACGAGGCCTGGGTGGTATGCGGAGAGGAGAACGGAGCAGGGGAGGACGGCGATCGTCACCCGGTGCCCTGCTGACAGCGGGAGGGAAGCACCAAAGATACCAACAGGAATCGTTCAGGGACTCCATTTGTGTTTAGCTCGGTGCCATGTTGCAAGGAGTGCGTTTTGTGTGTGACGGCAGAGCCTCTTGTTGTTCGGATACGCAGCTTGTGCTGCTCTGGGGGTTTTCTGTTTGTTTATTTGCAAATACAACGAGGGGCTGTCTCCGACCCAGCCCTTGGAGCTGTTGTTCAGCCAGGCCGTTGTTCCCTGAAGAACTGGGTTCTGATGCTGTCGCGAAGCTCAAGGTATACTCTGACCTTCAACTGACATTGCAAAACCAGTGCCTGGTGGCTTTACCTCTGCCCCATGGAAGACAGGGTGTGGATCGGTGTCGAGCATGGCTGCAAGGGGTGAGGGGCGCAGGGCGAGTTCGTTCAGCTTCAGAGGCCACGGCCTCTTGGTTTCTCGAACACTAAGTTCACCCCCGGCTTCCTAGCCGAACAAAGGACTTGCTGCCGCTTTCTGTGGATTGGGGTGATGAAGAACCAAGCCTTCAAACACAGTTTGTCAAAGGCCATTTGGATTTTGTTGTCATAAGAAACCCGTCTACAAATATGAATTTTCTTCCTTCAGTCTGTAAATAAAATAAAACTCATTTGTTCCTTAGTTTTTCATCACTGAATTTTTGATCTTACTGTGGGTTATCGTAGGCCGAGAGACTGCTCTAGATCCCTTTCCATCCAAGCATCTTGGAGAAAACAAAGTGAGGTTGGTTGGTTTGGTTTCTTTTGCATTTGTTTTCCCTCAGTCCAAATACTTGGTGTGTGGTTCTCTTTGTTAACTTTTCTTAACATAGAGTCAAGGACTTGGCTTTCAATGAAAGCATTCGAAACAGTAGAATCAGTAGGGGTTCATTGTGAGGAAAGTCAAAATCCGGGAGCACCTTGCAGCGCGTGCTGCGCCAGCGCGTTGCGTGCTCGCTACAGTGCGCGGGGATGCTGTGCTTGGGATGGCTAATCGGCGCGGGCAGTAAGCGTGGCAGGTTGGGAAACCCGGCGGGTCTCCAGCAGGGCCAAGCTTCTGCTCAGATGATTGAGGTGGCTGTGACAGCTGCCCTTTCCCGGTGAGTTGGACACCCGTCCCTTCGGTTTCTCCCTGTGGTGGCAGCGCCACTCGCTCTTGGTTCCCGGCTGGCACAAGCCCGGGCTGCGGAGCTGCTTGTCCCGAGTTACCCGGGCCCAGAGCAGCACGGGGCTGAAGCCGGGCTGCCCGTTTCACTGCGGGCTTTTCTGTAGAAGTGGGGGCTTGCGGGGAGGCAGCTGGGAGAGCGGAGGCATTTTCAGTCTCTATTCCAAGTGTCGGTAGCACGACGTCCTTTCGGCACCGGCGGCGACCCGGGGGCAGCGTGGCCTTAGAGGCCGGGTGCGTGGGCAGGCTCGCTGCTCTTGCTGATCGGGTCTTTAATCTGATGGTACAGCGATGCCCCTGTACTTCGTTGATGGCGCGTTGGCAAGTTGTTATAGTCCTTTATTTCGACGCAGTGGCCTCGGCCTTCCCGAGCCCCTTCTCTTGATAACTGTGTTCATCAGTAGGTGCTTTGCTCTGCTCTGGTTTTTTCTTACGGCGTTGTAAGCCCCGCGCTATTCCCCGTGCTGGGCAGCGGCAGGCAGGGGGCGGGTCTGCAGAAAACCCGCGAGCCACTTAGGGCGGGCCCCCTCCCTCTTGCTGATCGGGTCTTTAATCTGATGGTACAGCGATGCCCCTGTACTTCGTTGATGGCGCGTTGGCAAGTTGTTATAGTCCTTTATTTCGACGCAGTGGCCTCGGCCTTCCCGAGCCCCTTCTCTTGATAACTGTGTTCATCAGTAGGTGCTTTGCTCTGCTCTGGTTTTTTCTTACGGCGTTGTAAGCCCCGCGCTATTCCCCGTGCTGGGCAGCGGCAGGCAGGGGTCGGTTCTGCAGAAACCCCGCGAGCCACTTAGCGCGGTCCTCCTCCGTGCCATCGTTAGCTACAAAGCGGGGATTTAGTCCTCAGAAACCGAATCAAACGGGCGGCTGCTGCGGCATGTCCAGAAGGTCACCGAAGTCGCACTCTTGCAGATCAAAGAGTAAATTCCCGGTGCTCGCCGTGCAAACGCCGTGCCGGCTGCCCGGCCGGCGTGAACACGCGTGTGACTGAGCCCAGGTGCCCGTGGTGAGCATTGTGGCACGGCGGCGGCACCATGAAAGCACCTGGCTGGGGAGAGGCAAAGGGGTCGGGGCTTGCTTGCCCCGAGCAGCTGTTGCGAGAGCTGGGAGACCAAAGTGACGCTTGTAGGGGGTTCGGGGTTTGGGAAGCTCTGAAGGTTAATGCTTCAAGTCAGATTACCTGGTTTCACCCCAACTTTTTTTGTTTACGGGGTGTCACACTGCCTTTCGTACATCTCCTGTACAAGTAGGGCTGGTGGGGAGTTTCTCAGCCGCGAAGCCACATCTCGTTACCGAGCCCTGGGGACTGAACCCCCCTTGCTCCCAGGTGCGCTCCCTTTGCCGTAGGCTGAACGGGCACGGCCTAACGAGCCTTTCCTCATCAGCGGCGAGCCTGCTCGCGGCCGCCGTGCTGACGAGGCACGCGGGGTGCGTTCGAGTTCCTCCCGCACGGAGGAACGACGAACAAGCCCAGGGCAAAGTGCAGGGCGGCCAATTCAGCCCCCGGACTCTGAAGCAAGAGGGCAAAAGAGTGCCGTGACGCAGCGGCAGGTTTGCGAAGGCTTTGTGCGGGAGGGACGAGGTTGAGCGGCCGCGCTGGGGGTCTGCTAAGCGCCATGGAAGCTTCTAAGTGTGTGCCCGGTTCTGGACCGCTGAGCCAGGTCTCTCCCTGCGCTGGCGGGGAGGTAAACGCTCATGTTTTGAGCAGAGAGCATGAGAGGAGGAGGTCAGGGGAACACTGGGCTCCCAGTTGGATGCAGAGACCTTGAAGCTCCTGCTCTCTGCTAGGTTCAAATCATTATTGTCTTGGTTTAACCCCAGTCGGCAACTAAGCACCGCACAGCTGGGCAGGGATGAAGTGTTGGCTTTCATGTGCTTTGCTCCTTCTCTCTTCCTCTTACAGAGCTGAAGAGATGTCTCCTCTTGGCTCTTTTAGGTACTTAAGGTTTCCATAACGAACTGAAAAAAAACCCAAAAACCAAACAGTCCCCGAGCTTTCAAAGCCTCTTCTGGAGTGGTTTTATCCTTCCCCCGCAGCCCTTAGCGTGGTTTCTCAAGGCAGCCCTCGAGCACAGGGACCGGCACGGACCCGTGGATGGAGGCACGTGTGTGCGGCTGCTGCCTGCTTCCCCCCCGGGACCCCCCGGCCTTCCTCCCCCCGGGCTCTGGCGCTTTAAGGGCGCTGCCTGTTCGCCGGCAGCGGGGCGGATGCAGCTCCCCACCGTGCCGGGCGCGCTCACCCCTTCCCTGCTCGCCATCCCCGTGGTCTTCAGCATCAATGGTGCGACCGCCTTGGCAGAGTGAGTGCGGGCCCGGGACAGATCTCTGGGGCTGGGATGCTGCGGTCCGGCTCGGGGCAGGGCGCTGGGTCCTGTCCTCCACTGGTCCTGGATGCTGGGTCCAGTCTGGGACCGGGCGGGAGCATCTGGACTGACCCAGGACGAGGCTCTGTCCAAGGACGGTGGGAGCCATCCCACGCGGGATGGGCCACTGGGCCCCGTCCGCACCCGGAGCAGGGGGAGCCGTGTCCAGGGCAGGGTGCTGGGTCCCTCCTGGGGCTGGGGGCAGCGGCGTGGTCCGGCTCGGGGCAGGGGGCTCCGTCCAGGTGCTCCTGCCCCGGCTGAACCCACGGAAAGGTTGCTGCGGGCTGGGGCTTCGCTGCCATCATTCATGGCTGCCTTTATGACTTTTAAACGCCTTTATCGGCGAACGGACGCGCAGCAGGGTTGCTCAGGCTCGTTGCACAACGCGGAGCGTAACAGGGCTCGCCGACAGCCCCAGTCCCCCGGGGATTTAGGGTGCTCAGCACCTCCCTGATTTATGAGCATCCTCTCCAGCCGCCTGGCCCCAGCGCAGCCCTCCGGGCCAGCGGGACAGGACCCCGACACTGGGTGTCCCCTCCACAGACGGCCGTGCCTCCCCGGCCGCTGGGGACCCCTCCAAGCCCCCCCTCCCAGAGCGATGCCCCCAGCAACTCAGCCGCCGGCATGT